GGGGGCGGGCTCGTGCCAAAAGCTCTGAAAATTTTTAAATTTGAATCCCGGAAATGGCATTTGCAGCATTCTGAGCATATGATTCTGAGACACGCATAATCAGAAAACCCAGAATTCCGGGCGCCAGGGTATGCCTGTTCGCAGGTAGTGCTGCTAGTAGTGCTGTGAATAATATAGTTCACAACAAAAATCATGACCAAAGACACTAAAAACAGATCAAAATTGTATTTTAAAATACCTAAAACGTAGGAAAATTGGGAATCGACTCGCATTACCTCAATCCCATTCCCATTTTTGAGAACTTCATTTCCCATTCCCAGTGGCCTACTCCCAGTCCCAGCAACCCAAATCCCGTTTTCCCAGTTTAAAAACAGATCAATCCCAGTTCCCATTTTACCCCTTCAAGACCCTCCGGTAGGTTTGCTGAATAATTAGGCGGTCACACTCCTTATTCTGTGCATTAGGCCTTTGTTTTCTTTGTCTTTTCTGGCCTTTTGTTTTCATCTAACTTAGATGAAACCAGTATCTGACTTAAATGAAACCAGTATCGTATACCTTTTACACCAAAAATGAAATGATAGAGTCAGGGGCGTGGCGAACGATTCCAGATTGGGGGGGCGTCATACCATAATGACCAACTTTTTCAATAAAAATGACCAACTTTTTCGTGTTTAAAAAAATTTTTCTCAAAATTTTTTTTGGCGACCTAATAATAATAATAATGAACTTTTATATTTACAAAGATCACAGCAGTTGCAATTGTTCTCAATTAGTTCATGCAAGTCTATAATATGTATAGGCTTTTTAAAACTAGTTAAGCTAGGTGATTTTTTCAAACTACTGTGTAGCTTAGATCATAACATAGGTCCATTTTATCGTACTGACTGCTTACCATTTTTCACCTTATTTACAGTAGGTATTTTGAAATCACTATTTCTTAAACTGTAATTAGAACTTTTAAAACTAAAAATCTCAGTAACAGTAGCAGGCAAAAGTTTATTTTTAAACTTGTACATTAAAATGGCTATGTCCTGCAACCGCCTATTTTCTAATGTAAGTATTTGAGCTCTTTTTAACAGGTTACCATATGATTCTGACTTTGAAAATTTAACTATAATGCCTTATCTAATGACGTAAAACATTGACAGTTTTGGACCATTTTGAGCCGGACATAATACGCAATACATCCCTAGTTTAGCTTACGATTCTTCCTGTGGTAAAAGTGGCCAAAATTAGTTATTTGGTTTATTTGTCAAGAATTTTGATCCATGAATGTGTTTTGAAAATCACAGGAAGGATATTTCTTGTTTGAAAGTGGTAGCACCAGGGAATTTCGCGGGAAAGATTGAAGGTTTCAACGAAAATTTTCGTCCTAAAAACTTTCATTATTTTTGTAGAATATTATCCCAATATAAGCTCTAATCGTTGCCAAGTGGACAACAACGTGTTTGTAACTCCTTAAAGAAAGCTGTGGATTGCATTTGTGGTCGAGATTCGATGTTTTTCAAGCTTGACTTGGCTCAAACTTTATGTTGTATTTCATACTCCATCTTGGTATAAATGTTGCATCAGCTGTATCGATTTGGTTAGAAATTGCTTGGAATTCCTCTGGTTTCTCTTGTTTAAGGTATTTGGTATTATTTTTGTGTTGATATATTGTGATGTATGAATGATATGTCAAATTATATTGCTTTTTAGTACAGGGTCTTATAATA